GGGGATTTGGGGGGGTCTCACCTATGTTGGGGTGGTTCAAGACCTTCATTATTCGCACTTCCCGGAAGAGCTGGGAGGGACAGGGGGACGGGGGGATTTTGGGGGGTGTCAGAGACAACAATCTGCCATTTGTCACCCCAAAATCAGCTGTCACCCCCCCCCAGGGACACCCCTCACCTTCTGCAGGCTGGAGGAGTTGAGCTGCGTCTTGTCAATGATTTTCACGGCCACCTGCGAGGGGCACAGCACGGTCAGAGGGTCCCCAGGGCTGTCCCCAAGCTTGGGTGGCACTTGCAGGGTGAGGAGCAGGGGACAGGACTGTCCCCACGCCGTGGTGGCACTCCCAGAGTGAGAGGGAAGGTGACAGGAGCAGCCCCAGGGCTGTCCCCACAGCGTGGTGGCACTCGTGGGATGAGGACGGAGAGCTTGGGACCATCCCTGTGCCATGGTGGCACTCCCAGGACACGGATCAGGACCCAGGAGTGTCCCCACGCCGTGGTGGCACCCACGGGGTGGGGACCAGCAGCCCATCCCTGTGGTGGCACCCACAGGACAAGGAGCAGGACCTAGAAGCGTCCCCACAGCACGGTGACAGTCACAGCTGAGGACAGGAAACTCCCTCCTGTGCCAGGTGGCACTCCCAGGGCAGGGACCAGAAGCCAGAGCTGTCCCCACAGCCCGGTGGCACCCACAGGACAAGGGCCGACCCCACACCACGGTGCCACCCGTGGGACGAGGACAAGGGGCCCAAACCTGCGGTGACAATCACAGGACCTGGGCCAGGAGCCCAGTCCTATCCCCACGCTGTGGTGGCACTTCCAGGGCATGCACCAGCACCCAGAACTGTCCCCACGCTGTGGTGGCACTTCCAGGGCACGCACCAACACCCAAAACTGTCCCCACGCTGTGGTGGCACTCACTGCTGGGGACAGGAAGCTCATCCCAGGGCAAGGGCCAGCTCGCAAAGCTGTCCCCACACCATGGTGGCACTCACAGAACAAAGACTGTCCCCACGCTGTGGTGGCACTTCCAGGGCACGCACCAGCACCCAGAACTGTCCCCACACTGTGGTGGCACCCACAGGACAAGCACCAAGAGCCAGAACTGTCCCCATGGCACCCACAGGACAAGCACCACGAACCTGTCCCCACACCGTGGTGGCACTCACGGAATAAGGACTGTCCCCACGCTGTGGTGGCACTTCCAGGACAAACACCAACAGCCAGAACTGTCCCCACGCTGTGGTGGCACCCACAGGACAAACACCACGAACCTGTCCCCACACCGTGGTGGCACTCACAGAATAAGGACTGTCCCCACGCTGTGGTGGCACTTCCAGGACAAACACCAACACCCAGAACTGTCCCTATGCTGTGGTGGCACCCACAGGACAACCATCAACAGCCAGAACTGTCCCCACGCTGTGGTGGCACCCACAGGACAAGCACCACGAACCTGTCCCCACACCGTGGTGGCACCCACAGCCTGTCCCCGTGCCACCCACAGACCCGTCCCGTCCCCGCGGTGTCCCCACGTCCCCCCACGCGCTGTCCCCGCGCCGGGACGGTGCCGCTCACCTCCTTGCCGGTCAGGACGTGCCGGGCCAGCTTGACCTTGGCGAAGTTGCCCTTGCCGATGGTTTTGAGGAGCCGGTAGTTGCCGATGTGGGGCTGCTCCTCGGCGGCCGTGCCGGCGTTCCGGCCCCGCAGCATGCTGGCCTTGCCGCCGCCCTTGCCCTCCACGGCGCCCGGCTGCGGGGACAGCGGGGACAGCGGGGC